TGAGTCAATGTGCAGGGGTACCAGGTAGTAACATGGCTATATACCAGAGGTACTGGTACTGAGTCAATGTGCAGGGGTAACCAGGTAGTAACATGGCTATATACCAGAGGTACTGGTACTGAGTCAATGTGCAGGGGTACCAGGTAGTAACATGGCTATATACCAGAGGTACTGGTACTGAGTCAATGTGCAGGGGTACCAGGTAGTAACATGGCTATATACCAGAGGTACTGGTACTGAGTCAATGTGCAGGGGTACCAGGTAGTAAACATGGCTATATACCAGAGGTACTGGTACTGAGTCAATGTGCAGGGGTACCAGGTAGTAACATGGCTATATACCAGAGGTACTGGTACTGAGTCAATGTGCAGGGGTACCAGGTAGTAACATGGATATATACCAGAGGTACCGGTACTAAGTCAATGTGCAGGGGTACCAGGTAGTTGAGGTAATATGTAGGTAGGGATAAAAGTGACAATGCAATCAAGACAGATAATAAACAGAGTAGCAGCAGCGTATGTGAAAGTGTGTGTTAGTGTGTGTGTGTGTGTGTGTGTGGTATCAATACGCATGTGTGTGTTTGTTTTGTATGTGTGAGCGTATGTAGTGTGTGTGTGTGTGTGTGTGTGTGTGTTGGAGTGTGTGGGTAGAGTGTAGTGAGCGTGCATAGAGCCAGTAAAATAAAAATACAAAATAAAACAAGAAATAATAAAGGGGAGGGGTCAATGTAAATATTTGATTAACTGTTCAGGAGTCTTATAGCTTGGGGGTAGAAGCTGTTCAGAGTCCTGTTGGTCCCAGACTTGGCGCTCCGGTACCGCTTGCCGTGCGGTAGCAGAGAGAACAGTCTATGACTTGGGTGGCTGGAGTCTTTGACAATTTTTAGGGCCTTCCTCTGACACCGCCTGGTATAGAGGTCCTGGATGGCAGGAAGCTTGGCACCAGTGATGTACTGGGCCGTACGCACTACCCTCTGTAGCGACTTACGTTCGGATGCCGAGCAGTTGCCATACCAAGCGGTGATGCAGCCAGTCAAGATGCTCTCAATGGTGCAGTTGTATAACTTGAGGATCTGAGGGCCCGTCAGGAAGTCCAGGATCCAGTTGCAGAGGGAGGTGTTCAGTCTCAGGGTCCTTAGCTTAGTGTTGAGCTTGGAGGGCACTATGGTGTTGAACGCTGAGCTGTAGTCAATGAATAGCATTCTCACGTAGGTGTTCCTTTTGTCCAGGTGGGAGAGGGCAGTGTGGAGTGCAACAGAGATTGCATCATCTGTGGATCTGTTGGGGCAGTATGAGAATTGGAGTGGGTCCAGGGTTTCTGGGATGATGATGTTGATGTGAGCCATGACCAGCCTTTCAAAGCATTTCATGACTACAGACATGAGTGCTACGGGGCGATAGTTATTTAGACAGGTTACCTTGGCATTCTTGGGAACAGGGACTATGGTGGTCTGCTTGAAACATGTAGCTATTACAGACTGGGTCAGGGAGAGATTGAAAATGTCAGTGAAGTCACTTGCCAGTTGGTCCGCGCATGCTCTGAGTACGCTTCCTGGTAATCTGCCTGGCCCTGCGGCCTTGTGAATGTTAACCTGTTTAAAGGTCTTGCTCACATCGGCTACGGAGACCGTGATCACACAGTCGTCCGGAACAGCTGGTGCTCTCACGCATGGTACAGTGTTGCTTGCCTCGAAGTAAGCATATAATGCATTTATTCACTGGGCAGCTCGCAGCTGGGTTTCCCTTTCTAATCTGTGATAGTTTGCAAGCCCTGCCACATCCGACGAGCGTCAGAGCCGGTGTAGTAGGATTCAATCTTAGTCCTGTATTGACGCTTTGCCTGTTTGATGGTTCGTCGGAAGGCATAGCGTGATTTCTTATAAGAGTCCGGATTAGTGTGTCACGCCCTGACTCAGGGGACTCTTATATGTTGAGTCAGGGTGTGTATATTCTTTGTTGTGTATGTTCTATGTTGTATTATCTAGTATGTATGGTTCTATGTTGGCCGGTGTGGTTCCCAATCAGAGGCAGCTGTCGCTCGTTGTCTCTGATTGGGGACCATACTTAGGCAGCCTATTGGGACTATTGAGTTGTGGGATCTTGTTCCGTGTGAGGTATATTGTGTGTGCTACCTTGGACTTCACGGTTCGTTTAGTTTGTTGTTTTGTCGTTGTGTTTATTTGGTTTAATAAACATGTACGTATATCACGCTGCGCCTTGGTCTGACCCGTCCTTCAACGAACGTGACATAGTGTGGGTGTGTGTGTGTGTGTGTGTGTGTATGTGTGTGTGTGTGTAGAACAGAGCAGACCAAAGTGTGTGTTCTCTGCACCGCTTGGACCAAAGCTTCAAGCCGATTCTCATAAAAAATTGGTGCAGAAAAAGGGAGGGAGGGAAAGAACGGAGGGAGCGAGAGAGAGAGAGAGAGAGAGAGAGAGAGAGAGAGAGAGAAGCGAGATATGAGAAGAGAGAGGAGAGAGAGACCAGAGAGAGCGAGAATATCCATAGATATATGGCTATCTATCTCTCTCTCTCTATCTCTCTCTCTCTCTCTCGTATCTCTCTAGCTCTCATGACATATCTCTATGGAAGGAACATGCTTCATCACAGAAGCTTACGTTGACAGACTATGAGGAGAGAGGTGTGTGTGTGTGTGTGCGCATGCGTGTCTCTCACACAGCCGCACACAGAACTGCCAGCATCTTCAGTTCCAGCGTGTTCACATCCGGGTGGTTAGGGAAAGGAAAAGAGGAGGGAGGGAGATAGAGAGAGGGCCAGGGAGGGAGGGAAGGAGAGAAATAGTGACTGCCAGAATATCTGCAGGTGGTGTGAGTCTCAGCAGCTGGTCACATTTGAAGGAAGGGAGGATCATTTACAACTGGGGAAGAGAAGAAGGAAGGAAGGGAGGAGGAGGGGATAAAGAAACAACAAAAGAGCAGAAGAGAGGGAAGGATACACAATATAAGAGGGATAGAGGAGAGGACATATAGAAGAAGAACACTGGAGAGGAGGAAGGAGGAGAGGGGAGAGCCGGTGTATAGAGAAACCAACAGAAGAGGGAAGGAGGAGAGGAGACGAGGTTTACAGGGGAGGCGAGAGCCAGAAAATCACCGGGGAAGAGAGGTAGAGAGCAGAGGGGAGAAAAGGAGAGAAATCGACAGAAGAGAGCCAGTACATAGGTAGAAGCAGAGGAGAGACAGGTATGGTCTGGGGGGCTCTGTCTCCACTGCAGTGGGCTCGGTGGGGCTGGGACACCCTATACAGAGACACCAGCCCTGGGGATGGGGACAGCCCTACTAACCCTACACTGGGGATGCTCCAGAGACTGTCCTGGGGGTCCCGACACCATGCCATGATCCTGGACAGACAGAGGTGAGAGACCGAGAGAGAGAGAGACCGAGAGAGAGAGAGAGAGAGAGAGCGAAGGAGGGAGAGTGAGAGAGAGCGAGAGAGGAGAGATCGAGAGAGAGAGACGAGAAAGAGAGAGAGAGAGAGAAGAGAGAGAGAGAGAGGAGAGAGAAGTGAGGTAGAGAGAGAGAGACGAGAGGAGGACGAGAGAGAGAGACGGAGAGACGAGAGAGGAGAGATGAGATGAGAGAGACAGAGAGAGAGAGAGAGAGAGAGAGAGAGAGAGAGAGAGAGAGAGAGAGGAGAGAGAGAGAAGGAGGAGAGAGAGGTTGGAGGAGGGAGCGGTCGATGGGGTGGTTAGAATTTGGGAGAGTGTGTGTGGCTGCTATCAAGATTAAGTTGTATCAATCTAGATAAGTATCTGAGTGTGTAGGTGGAAGATGATTGATGCAGAGTGCGGTGGTAAGGTTTGTGTGTGGGGTGTGTGTGTGGTGTGTGTGTGTGTGTGTGTGTGGATGTGTGGTTGTTTGTGGTGTGTGTGTGGTGTGTTGTGTGTTGTGGGTGGTGGGTGTGTGTGTGTGTGTGTGTGTGTGTGTGTGTGTGTGTGTGTGTGTGTGTGTGTGTGTGTGTGTGGTGTGTGGTTTGTGTGGTGGCAGAATGTTAAGATATACATTTTCTGTCTCCTGGCTGCAGATTCAGCGCTTTCATTTCTAGACCTAATAATCCGCCAGGGAGAATCAGACATAAAGGAGCACATACATGCTGACTGGGGTCTTTGTTTGACTAAATATCGGAGCATGACGATAGCATGCATTATTGCAACCATAAAGTAGAACCGTCACAGCATTGACTCATTGACTCATTAGTTTCAGACTGGTGATATTTTCCCTTAATGGGATACGGTATATATATCTGCACAGATGGTTGTACAGTATGTTAGGAAAATGACTTATGACTGACATATTTCTTTGTTTGTTTTCATTAGACTGTCTGTCTGTCTGTCTTACTGCCAATGCATCGTACACGGGCCTCAAGAACTACTGGGCCACGTTCCAATATCCATTCTTGTTATACATTTCTTTACGCTAATGTGGGTTTAGCAGGTAGCTTAGTGGTTAAGAGTGTTGTGCCAGTAACCGAAAGGTCGCTGGTTCTAATCCTCCGAGCCCGACTAGGTGAAAAATCTGTCGATGTGCCCTTGAGCAAGGCACTTAACCCTAATTGCTCCTGTAAGTCGCTCTGGATAAGAGCGTCTGCTAAATGACTAAAATGTAAATGTAAATGTAAAAATGTTTAGAACAGTGAGATCGTCATTTCTCACAAACCCGCTGTGCATCGTCCATTATTACCGTCTCATGTTTCTCTCCCTTCACACCATTGTCCCTATGAGGTCCACAGTGATACTGAGGCTTTCTGACTTATAATGAGGCTCTGTCTCGCTCTCTCTCTCTGTCCTACAGGAGCTCAGACTCTGACGGAGCGTTCGAGACACCAGAGTCGACCACCCCTGTCAAGTCCCCCAATGGAGAGACAGACCATCATACCCAGCTGCTGACCTCGGAAGACACCGGTGAGGGAGAGAGAGACACACACACACAGAAAGAGAGAGAGGAAGGGGAGAAAGAGAGAGGAAGGGGAGAGAGAGAGAGGAAGGGGAGAGAGCAGAGAGAGAGAGAGAGGAGAGAGAGAGGAGCCCAGTGGTGAACTGAAAAAAGGGAGAGACAGATAGAGTGAGAAGAGACAAGAAGGATATAAGGAGGGCGGGAGAAGAGAAGAAGAGGAGGAAGAAGGGAGGGAGGGAGAGAGCAACGGAGAGAGAGAAAAGAAAAGGAGAGAGAGAGGGAGAGAGAGGCGAGGGAGAGAGAGGAGAGCGAGAGGGGAGAGGAGAGCGAGAGAGAGAGAGAGAGAGAGGAGAGGAGGAGGAGAGAGAGGGGAGGAGAGAGAGAGGAGAGGCGAGGGCAGAGAGAGAAGAGGGACGAGAGAGAGGAGCGGAGCGAGAGAGAGAGAGAGAGAAGAGAGAGAGAGAAGAGGAGGGAGAGAGAGCAGGAGCGAGAGAGCGAGAGAGAGAGAGAGAGAGAGAGCGAGAGAGAGAGAGAGAGCGAGAGAGAGAGAGAGAGAGAGGAGAGAGAGAGGAGCGAGAGAGGCGCGAGAGGAGAGAGAGAGAGAGAGGAGACGAGGAGAGCGAGAGAGGAGGTAGCGAGAGAGCGAGAGAGGAGCAGAGAGCGAGAGCGAGATGCAAGAGATCGAGCGAGCTATTAGTCGAAAGAGCGACGGAGATCTCGATGATATCGTAGAGGATATCTAGATCTATCTGCTCTCTCGATTTTTCTCTCCGTCTTCCTCGGATATAATCTCTTTCTCTCTCTCTTCTCTCTCTAATATCTCTCGACTCTCTCTCTCTCTAATTCGTCTATATTTCTATCTCTATCCCGCTCTCGATTCGCTCCGCTCGCGCTCTCCGTCTCTCGAGGCTCGCTCGCGATATATAGAGATCTCTCTCTTCCTGTCCTCTTTCCGCTCCTCGTATAGCCCTTCTCGCTCTGCTACTATTCTCTCTCTTTCCCCCTGTCTCTCTCTCTCTATCATTTCCCTCACTCACTCTCTCTCTCTCCTCTCTCTATCTCTCTTTCCCTCTCTCTCTTACACAAACACATACACACAAGCATCAGAAGAATGTCATTTCTCACTCTCATTCATAAACCATAATGCAAACCTTGACAATGCATTGTGGGATTATGTCTTGAGTATTTAACACTCATCATATATATTTCTCTGTGTTCCTCCAGGTCTTGGCTGTGACTCCGAGGCAGACGGTGAACCCGGGTCAGAGGCTAAAGGTCACCACGGTAGCTCCCTGTCCATAGTCTTCGACGAGGACAAGCCCATTGCCGCTAGCGGAGCCTATAACCTAGACCAGCTCATAGCTGCTGCTGCAGCTGCAGAGGCCCAGAGCCGATCAACTCTAACCCGCTCTCTGAGCCTCCAGGCTGGGGAGCTAGACGGCTCCGACCCCCTAGACGGCGGAGGATCTTCCATTTCAATCGGAGACTCCCGTCCCTTAGCTGAATCCTTCAGTATCGACGGTGGTACTGAGAGTGCTCCAGGGACCCTCCGCAGACCCTCCAAGAAGGGGCCTCTCCGCCCTGGCGGCTCTCTGAAAAAGAAGCCTCTCCTCAGGCAGAGCTCTAACCCAGAGAGCCCCCAACCTCCATCCTCTGGTACCACACCAGAGCTGAAGAAGAGTGCCAGAACAGCTAGCCCCCTATTGGACTCTGAGGACAAGGAAGTAGGAGGAGCCACAGCAGACTCTGGCCCTGCCTCGGCCACGCCCAGTCCAGGAGGCACGCTCCGCAGAACCAGGAAGCCACGCGTGGAAAGCCCCGCCCCTCTCATTGAAGAGACCAATCACACTAGCCCAGAGACAGATAACCAACCAATCCCAGCCCCTACTCCAATTCCGTCCCAGGCCATTTCCATACCCCTCCGACAGGAGGATACCCCCATCCCAGCCAGCGAGGGCTCCTCTCCCATCCCCCCTAGTGGGGCCTACAAATGGGACCCAGACAACTTTGAGGACATCGACCCATTCAACACCGGAGGTAGTAAAGTCGCTAACTCCCCCCCACTGGGAAGGAAAGGAGTCGCTAACTCCCCCCCGTTGGTTAGGAAAGGAGTCGCTAACTCCCCCCCATTGGTTAGGAAAGGAGGCGCTGCGTCCATTGCTCCCAAAACTGTCACGCCTGTCTCTAACCCTAACCCTCCTCCTGTCTCCACTGAGGAATCAGCTCGTCCCCCTACCAGCCCCCCTATTCGCACCTCAGGGGCGGTCAGACTGGAGTTTGACTATTCTGAGGAGACCCTCGAGGAGCCTCCTAAGGCCTCTCCACCACCCAAGAAGCTGGGCAGGAAACCAGGCTCCAAGGTTAGTCTGTCGTAGGGTTGCAAAATCGTACGTTTTTTACTCTTGCTGATTTCAACGTGTAATTTTTTTGCCTGATCATCTTGCTGACTTTGTAAAGTGACTGGGTGGTGTTTTTGAAAAGCACTTAAAATAATACAAGTTATTATAATTATTATTCATAATAATAATTGTATTCATGTCATTATTATTATGATTATGTTTATTATATATTCTAATGACAACAATAATAATAATCATTATTATTATTATCAGATGCCTCTAAGGAAGCCCAGGATGGGCCTGAAGAAGGCCGTCCAGCTCCCATCGGAACCCCTAGACAACGCCACCGTCCCCGATGATGATGACATCCCCGTCCCTAAGGCCTCCTATAACTTCGACCCCACCCAGTGGGACGACCCTAACTTCAACCCGTTCGGCACCAACAGCGAGATCCCTATCTCTCCCGAGCTGAACAAACCCTCCCATAGATTCGACTCTGACACCTTCGACGAGTCTGCTGCCTTCAAGTCCTCCTCCAATAGTATGGCTGCGTCTCCGCCCACGGCTGCCTCAGGCTCCGCCTCCTTTGAGGTGTCGGCCAATGACAATGAGGTTGATAATGATAATGATAATGTTAGTGAGCTGGAGGACCACAACCAGAACAAACCATCCAAAACGAAGAAGAAACCTATCAAATCGTAAGTTGGTTTAAAATTTTTTTTTTTTTTTCTTCCCTGACCTTATCGAACAGAGAGATAGAGAGCATGAAAAGGTGGGTAAGGATAGAGAGAGGGCAGCAAACCGGATTCAAACCGACACCGTAGGCATGTGTGCCGGAGGCTGCGGCGTTGAGGCTGCGGCATTACTGCTTGACCAGCCAGGCCACCAGATAGCTGTGCGTGTGTGTGGTGTGTGTGTGTGTGTGTGTGTGTGTGTGTGTGTGTGTGTTCATGTGTGTGTGTGTGTGTGTGTGTGTGTGTGTAAGTCCCAGGTTGGATATAGATGTGAAAACACGCAGATAATATGACAAGAGAGGATGAGATATGTGTGTTTGTGTACTCTCTCACACACACAAACAGACATATCTCACTCTCTCTTGTCATATTATCTGCGTGTTTTCACATCTATATCCACCCTGGGACTTACACATCCACGAAGATAGCAGGAGGGATGGAGAGAGAGAGAGAGAGAGAGAGAGTACTGTAAGGGCTGCAGGTCACCATTAGTACTGTAAGGGCCGCAGGTCACCATTAGTACAGTGGGCTGCAGGTCACCATTAGTACTGTAAGGGCTGCAGGTCACCATTAGTACTGTAAGGGATGCAGGTCACCATTAGTACTGTAAGGGCCGCAGGTCACCATTAGTACTGTAAGGGCCGCAGGTCACCATTAGTACTGTAAGGGCTGCAGGTCACCATTAGTACTGTAAGGGCCGCAGGTCACCATTAGTACTGTAAGGGCCGCAGGTCACCATTAGTACTGTAAGGGCTGCAAGTCACCATTAGTACTGTAAGGGCCGCAGGTCACCATTAGTACTGTAAGGGCTGCAGGTCACCATTAGTACTGTAAGGGCCGCAGGTCACCATTAGTACTGTAAGGGCTGCAGGTCACCATTAGTACTGTAAGGGCCGCAGGTCACCATTAGTACTGTAAGGGCTGCAGGTCACCATTAGTACTGTAAGGGCTGCAGGTCACCATTAGTACTGTAAGGGCCGCAGGTCACCATTAGTACTGTAAGGGCTGCAGGTCACCATTAGTACAGTGGGCTGCAGGTCACCATTAGTACTGTAAGGGATGCAGGTCACCATTAGTACTGTAAGGGCTGCATGTCACCATTAGTACTGTAAGGGCCGCAGGTCACCATTAGTACTGTAAGGGCCGCAGGTCACCATTAGTACTGTAAGGGCTGCAGGTCACCATTAGTACTGTAAGGGCTGCAGGTCACCATTAGTACTGTAAGGGATGCAGGTCACCATTAGTACTGTAAGGGCCGCAGGTCACCATTAGTAAGGGCTGCAGGTCACCATTAGTACTGTAAGGGCTGCAGGTCACCATTAGTACTGTAAGGGCCGCAGGTCACCATTAGTACTGTAAGGGCCGCAGGTCACCATTAGTACTGTAAGGGCTGCAAGTCACCATTAGTACTGTAAGGGCCGCAGGTCACCATTAGTACTGTAAGGGCTGCAGGTCACCATTAGTACTGTAAGGGCCGCAGGTCACCATTAGTACTGTAAGGGCTGCAGGTCACCATTAGTACTGTAAGGGCCGCAGGTCACCATTAGTACTGTAAGGGCTGCAGGTCACCATTAGTACTGTAAGGGCTGCAGGTCACCATTAGTACTGTAAGGGCCGCAGGTCACCATTAGTACTGTAAGGGCTGCAGGTCACCATTAGTACAGTGGGCTGCAGGTCACCATTAGTACTGTAAGGGCTGCAGGTCACCATTAGTACTGTAAGGGCTGCAGGTCACCATTAGTACTGTAAGGGCTGCAGGTCACCATTAGTACTGTAAGGGCTGCAGGTCACCATTAGTACTGTAAGGGCTGCAGGTCACCATTAGTACTGTAAGAGCAGCAGGTCACCATTAGTACTGTAAGGGCTGCAGGTCACCATTAGTACTGTAAGGGCCGCAGGTCACCATTAGTACTGTAAGGGCTGCAGGTCACCATTAGTACTGTAAGGGCAGCAGGTCACCATTAGTACTGTAAGGGCTGCATGTCACCATTAGTACAGTGGGCTGCAGGTCACCATTAGTACTGTAAGGGCCGCAGGTCACCATTAGTACTGTAAGGGATGCAGGTCACCATTAGTACTGTAAGGGATGCAGGTCACCATTAGTACAGTGGGCTGCAGGTCACCATTAGTACTGTAAGGGCTGCAGGTCACCATTAGTACTGTAAGGGATGCAGGTCACCATTAGTACTGTAAGGGCTGCATGTCACCATTAGTACTGTAAGGGCCGCAGGTCACCATTAGTACTGTAAGGGCCGCAGGTCACCATTAGTACTGTAAGGGTTGCAGGTCACCATTAGTACTGTAAGGGCTGCAGGTCACCATTAGTACTGTAAAGGATGCAGGTCACCATTAGTACTGTAAGGGCCGCAGGTCACCATTAGTACTGTAAGGGCCGCAGGTCACCATTAGTACTGTAAGGGCTGCAGGTCACCATTAGTACTGTAAGGGATGCAAGTCACCATTAGTACTGTAAGGGCTGCAGGTCACCATTAGTACTGTAAGGGCTGCAGGTCACCATTAGTACTGTAAGGGCTGCAGGTCACCATTAGTACTGTAAGGGCTGCAGGTCACCATTAGTACTGTAAGGGCCGCAGGTCACCATTAGTACTGTAAGGGCTGCAAGTCACCATTAGTACTGTAAGGGCCGCAGGTCACCATTAGTACTGTAAGGGCTGCATGTCACCATTAGTACAGTGGGCTGCAGGTCACCATTAGTACTGTAAGGGCCGCAGGTCACCATTAGTACTGTAAGGGATGCAGGTCACCATTAGTACTGTAAGGGATGCAGGTCACCATTAGTACAGTGGGCTGCAGGTCACCATTAGTACTGTAAGGGCCGCAGGTCACCATTAGTACTGTAAGGGCTGCAGGTCACCATTAGTACTGTAAGGGCTGCAGGTCACCATTAGTACTGTAAGGGCTGCAGGTCACCATTAGTACTGTAAGGGCTGCAGGTCACCATTAGTACTGTAAGGGCTGCAGGTCACCATTAGTACTGTAAGGGCTGCAGGTCACCATTAGTACTGTAAGGGCTGCAGGTCACCATTAGTACAGTGGGCTGCAGGTCACCATTAGTACTGTAAGGGCTGCAGGTCACCATTAGTACTGTAAGGGCCGCAGGTCACCATTAGTACTGTAAGGGCTGCAGGTCACCATTAGTACTGTAAGGGCTGCAGGTCACCATTAGTACTGTAAGGGCCGCAGGTCACCATTAGTACTGTAAGGGCTGCAGGTCACCATTAGTACTGTAAGGGCTGCAGGTCACCATTAGTACTGTAAGGGCTGCAGGTCACCATTAGTACTGTAAGGGCTGCAGGTCACCATTAGTACTGTAAGGGCTGCAGGTCACCATTAGTACTGTAAGGGCTGCAGGTCACCATTAGTACTGTAAGGGCTGCAGGTCACCATTAGTACAGTGGGCTGCAGGTCACCATTAGTACTGTAAGGGCTGCAGGTCACCACTAATTTCTTTATACAATATTTTAGTCTAAAATATAATGTTCTAAACATTCTTCTCTCAGAATTAGCATGTTGCTCCATCGTGACCAAAATTCCCAGGTTTTCCCAGAAATTCCGGGAATGTTCCAACTAGGATTTCTGGAAAACCTGGGAAATTTGGGAACGTTTCCAGAATTTTGCAGCCCTATCCTCTTCCTTATTAACAGAGCTGTGACATAAAGACTACCAATCAGAGAAGCTCTACCATGTAAATCAACCAATCAGAGAAGCTCTACCATGTAAATCAACCCATTAGAGAAGCTCTACCATGCCTATCAACCAATCACAGAAGCCCATCTGCTTCAATATCTGACATGAACATCCTGGCGTATAAATGGAACCTGTCTTCTCAAAGAGAAAGTTGACACGGTAGCACCTCCTCTATTGAAGGGCAACAGAGGTTACTCATGGTCAGACTGAGGTGCAGTATGTCTGGGGTCTAGGTTGGTTGCAGATACCTGGGTTTAGATCCTTCATCTCATAGCGCTTCCACCCTAACAAGCCCTAACACACTAACTTAACATAGAATCAGGCTTGGGGTCAAATCCCATTTCAGCCCTAACACACTAACCTAACAAAGAGTCAGGCTTGGGGTCAAAATCCCTTTCAGCCCTAACACACTAACTTAACATAGAATCAGGCTTGGGGTCAAATCCCATTTCAGCCCTAACACACTAACCTAACAAAGAGTCAGGCTTGGGGTCAAAATCCCATTTCAGCCCTAACACACTAACTTAACATAGAATCAGGCTTGGGGTCAAATCCCATTTCAGCCCTAACACACTAACCTAACAAAGAGTCAGGCTTGGGGTCAAAATCCCATTTCAGCCCTAACACACTAACTTAACATAGAATCAGGCTTGGGGTCAAATCCCATTTCAGTCCTAACACACTAACTTAACATAGAATCAGGCTTGGGGTCAAATCCCATTTCAGCCCTAACACACTAACTTAACATAGAATCAGGCTTGGGGTCAAATCCCATTTCAGCCCTAACACACTAACTTAACATAGAATCAGGCATGGGGTCAAATCCCATTTCAGCCCTAACACACTAACTTAACATAGAATCAGGCTTGGGGTCATATTCCATTTCAGCCCTAACACACTAACCTAACAAAGAGTCAGGCTTGGGGTTAAAAACCCATTTCAGCCATAACACACTAACCTAACAAAGAATCAGGCTTGGGGTCAAATCCCATTTCAGACCTAACACACTAACCTAACAAAGAGTCAGGCTTGGGGTTAAATCCCATTTCAGACCTAACACACTAACCTAACAAAGAATCAGGCTTGGGGTCAAATCCCATTTCAGCCCTAACACACTAACCTAACAAAGAGTCAGGCTTGGGGTTAAATCCCATTTCAGACCTAACACACTAACCTAACAAAGAATCAGGCTTGAGGTCAAATCCCATTTCAGCCCTAATACACTAACCTAACAAAGAATCAGGCTTGGGGTAAAATCCCATTTCAGCCCTAATACACTAACCTAACAAAGAGTCAGGCTTGGGGTCAAATCCCATTTCAGCCCTAACACACTAACCTAACAAAGAGTCAGGCTTGGGGTCAAATCCCATTTCAGCCCTAACACACTAACCTAACATAGAATCAGGCTTGGGGTCAAATCCCATTTCAGTCCTAACACATTAACCTAACAAAGAGTCAGGCTTGGGGTCAAATCCCATTTCAGCCATAACACACTAACCTAACAAAGAATCAGGCTTGGGGTCAAATCCCATTTCAGACCTAACACACTAACCTAACAAAGAGTCAGGCTTGGAGTTAAATCCCATTTCAGACCTAACACACTAACCTAACAAAGAATCAGGCTTGGGGTCAAATCCCATTTCAGCCCTAGCACACTAACCTAACAAAGAGTCAGGCTTGGGGTCAAAACCCATTTCAGCCCTAACACACTAACCTAACATAGAATCAGGCTTGGGGTCAAATACCATTTCAGTCCTAACACATTAACCTAACAAAGAGTCAGGCTTGGGGTCAAATCCCATTTCAGACCTAACACACTAACCTAACAAAGAATCAGGCTTGGGGTCAAATCCCATTTCAGCCCTAACACACTAACCTAACAAAGAGTCAGGCTTGGGTTTAAATCCCATTTCAGCCCTAACACACTAACCTAAAAAAGAATACAAAAAATGTGAATTTGGAATTGGAATTACTTTCAGAATTGACTGGAATTGACCCCAACCCTGCAAGGAATTACCATTGGAGTCTGCACCCTAGTCTATACCATCATGTGAATCATACCACTAAAACACTTATTGGGCCAGAAGCAATCAAACCTCAAACTCCTAATTGACTTCCTGTAGTTCTAGTTTCATTAACATAATGTACCCTACTCTAAACTAGTGATGTTAAATATCATCTTAAAAATGTATTATCAGTTCAATCCAACAACTTGTGAGTATTAAGCTTTTTAAGGTTTGATGCAGTCTTGCTATACTGTACACAGATGATGTTGCTAAACACATTTCATGAAAACCATTGCTTTTTCAAAAATTCCCACTGTATTGTGAATTTACATTTACATTCGAGTCATTTAGCAGACGCTCTTATCCAGAGCGACTTACAGGAGCAATTAGGGTTAAGTGCCTTGCTCAAGGGCACATCGACAGCTCGGGGATTAGAACCAGCGACCTTTCGATTACTGGCACAATGCTCTTAACCACTAAGCTACCTGCCGCCCATGAATGACATGTATCTAAAGCTACAACAATATAAGAGAGAATAATCATCTGAAACGTACCTCTCCTGGGAAGTTGTTAATAAGATATATAATATAATTGATGTATTGATTAAGTATTGATTGATTTAATTGATTGATTAAGTCTCTGCCAGGGATGACATGTTGTGTTCAGTGATTCCTGATCATCCAGTCTCTCTCTCTCTCCTTCCAGTAACACTTTCAGAGTCAAGAGGTCCCCAAAGAGGTCGCCCACGTCTGATCCATTATCACAAGTCAGTCAGTCCTCTCTCACGTACCACACACACACGCACGCACACACACACACACACACACACACATACACACACACACTTTCAAACACACACAGACTCAATTTATGTGATAAACGGGGACATTGTAAATAAACCAGCAATATCCTTCCTCTTCTCCAGGAGCCCACCCCAGTAGATGAAGCCCAGCCTCCTATCCCCCCGCTACAGGACGACCACGCCACAGACGAGGAGAAGCTGGCCTCTTCCTCCAATCATAAAGAGAAGCTTGCTTCCTCAGCCAATCACATGTGGGCATCCATGGAGGCGGAGCTAACCTCTGAGCCCCAGGAGGATTTCCCGCAGCCATCTGACCTCACAGCCTTCGTCAACGAGAACAATCGAGGTGAGTGTGTTTGTGTGCGTGTGTTTAAAAAATACATATTACAATAAATAGTCATCATTGGACAATTTCAGGTCAAAAGTTAATGTATCCATGTACAGGATGTGATGTCATCCATATGTGTGCACCCCCATTTATTGATTTCTATTTGGCAGTGAGCCCATGCAGCTAGCTATCCAGCCCAGTCCTTTACTAAACCCTGACCCCTAGAAGAGTAGAGGAGAGCCACCCTACCCAGAGGCTGTCTCTGCCTGACTGGGTTTAAACTGGGTCATATTATTACAGATAGACAGACAGACTGTCCCACCAGTCCAGTCCAGCCCAGAGTATCTGATTCCCTCCTGTTCTCCCTCCTCTTTCATCTCTCTCTTCTCCCTTCCTCTCTTCTCTCGTTCTGTCTCTCACCATCTCTGTTCTTCCTCCTCTCCTATTCCTATCTTCTTCTGTCTCTCTTTCATTCTCTCGTACTTGTGTCTCTTAACTCTGCCTATTCTGTTGTCTCCCTCAGTGCCAGACTATGAGATTGAGTACATGGAGAAGATCGGCCCCTCTTCGCCGGTGAGTATCTATCCACAGTCTGTGCTGTCAGTCAGATAAGAAGGGGTAGGAAGATAGAACTGAAACTGGCTCAAATTATGATCGTGATCTATGAAGATTTTATACTGGTTACTTAGGTCTATATGTTTGCTCTTGAGACTGACTGTCCTTGAGAATGACTGTCCTTGAGACTGACTGTCCTTGAGACTGACTGTCCTTGAGACAAACTGTCCTTGAGACTGTCTGTCCTTGAGACTGAGACTGACTGTCTTTGAGACTGACTGTCCTTGGGACTGACTATCTTTGAGACTGACTGTCCTTGAGTTTGAGACTGACTGTCCTTGAGACTAACTGTCCTTAAGACTGAGACTGACTGTCCTTGAGACTAACTGTCCTTGAGACTGAGACTGACTGTCCTTGAGACTAACTGTCCTTGAGACTGAGACTGACTGTCCTTGAGACTGACTGTCTTTGTATACTTTAGTTTCTTCTGATCATCAAAGTGGGTTGTGTTTAGGACGCGCAGGGAGGGGGCGAGGAGGTCGCGAGAAGAGAGAGCGCGCGCGCGCGCGCGAGAGGCGCGCGCGCGCGCGCGCGAGCGCGCGCGCGAGCGAGCGCGCGCCCCCAGCAGCGAAGCGCGCGAGAGAGAGAGGAGAGCGGAAGACGCGCAGCGCGCGAGCGGCCGGCGCCGCGTCGCGGCGCGCGCGCGCGCGCGCGCGCGCGCGCGCGCGCGCGGCGCGCGCGGCGCGCGAGCGGGCGCGCGAGAGAGAGAGAGAGAGAGAGAGAGAGCGCAGAGCGGCGTCACCCCCCGCCCGCGCGGCGCGCGCGGCGCGAGCGCGCGCGCGCGCTCGCACGCCAGCGAGCGAGGCGAGCGAGGAAGCGCGAAGATAGACGATCTCCTAGCGCCCTGCGCTGCGAAGGCCGCGGAGCCACGCCCATCGGGGAGGCTCTTCGCGTGCGTGACCCAACGCACAGCTGAGCTCGGCGCTCCTCTCTTTATCTCTATCGCTCTATCGCTCTCGCCTATAGGCTGCTCATCTCTCTATCTCTCTCTCTCTCTCTATCGCTTCTAGTCTCTCTCTCTTTAGACTATGTTTGTGAAGAAACCTTCTACTCTCTACCTGAAGCTGGACTCTGTGACAGACAGCCTGACCAAGCCTAACCATGGATCAGAACTCAACTCTCCCTGCACAGGGTACAACACACTTGGGCACACACACACACACACCATACAAATCTGTCAGTTTAAGCTAGAGATATCAGTCTCAATCCACCACATCCGCCCATGTAACACTTCTGCGGTCTTTTCACAAAATCTTCTGTAGCGTCCGAACAGTTCGGCCTAAAAACTATTATGACCCCTCTATGGAAAGATGAGACTCACAAACACGTACGTGTCGGTTGTTTTGCTCTAGGACGTCCACAGGCCTCACAAGACTTGTCTGAAGGTCCCCCGGTACCAGATGAAAACATGTATGGAAGAACATATGGAGACTGTTTAGCGCCAAAAATATGGGGTTAAATACATGTACAAATGTTTTTATTATAATAATGTTTCCTGATCTTTCTCTCAGATATAGGACACACTTCAGAAACAAACATCCTTTAGATTTTTTGGGGGACTATCTGTTGTTTCATATAATGAATCTCTTATCTTTTTTTTTTTTTTTTTTTTATAGTTCAAGGATAGTTCAAGAATCTCTTGTTTTAGTTGCTAAACAGAACGTTTGGACTAATGATTACACCCCAGATTAGCTAGATGCAGGCAAGTGTGTGCAAGTCTCTCGACCTGTGTGCACCTATGTTATAAATGTTCATTCCCTAATCTTGAAAGGTACTAATTGACACACACACACACACACACCTAAACGCACCCTCTAGTCTAGTCACCTATAGTTATCAACATGAGCATTAATAATTATAATAATTAGGTCAAAATCCATTCACTCTCTCTCACGTGCACACACATTCAGATTCAGAATAGAATGACTGCAAAATGTTAAGTTACATTTCTGTTTCCAGTCCCTTTCCTGTCACTACCGCTTTCAGTTGTTACTGTACTTACCACACAACAAACACATATCCATAAACACACACCCATATACCCAGATATATCCTCTATCTAATTCTCCTTGTCCCCCCTTCCGTCCCTCTCTCTCTCCCTCCATGTAGGAGTTTTGAGGAGATGGAGGCCCAGATCACAGCCCAGATGAAGACTCCTGTGCTGGGCTCCAGACCCGGTCCAGAGGGGTCTCGACCCGGTCCGGAGGGGTCCACTGGCGCGAAGGAGAAGACCAGGAAGAGAGAGAGCCAGTCACTCAGCCGGACACAGAGCACAGACATGGAGCATGGAGCAGTGAGTAGAACAATACTGAACAGTCTGGCTGTAACCTCAATAAGCAAAATCAAGATGAAAATCTATCAATGCATTCACTGTATGTTTCTCATCGTCTTTCATCTGCATGTGACAGTTATTTGTGTCATTGCTCCTCTCAGAATACAATGTTACGTCGGATTTTCTTCTCCCGGTTCACTATGCTGAGGCCTCTCTTAGTCCACATAACGCGTCTGTCCGTGTTATTGTCATGTAGTCATGTAGACACTAGAGGGCGACAGTGTATACTGTATGGCATGGCCTATGGTGTAGAAGAAGAAGCTGATGCTCAGTAGGCCTATTAACCTCATCAGCTACTCTCAAAGCCCTGTCATAAGTTAACTACCATAAGTTAGCTTCCATAGGTTAACTACCATAAGGTAACTACCATAAAGTAACTACCATAAGCTACCTACCAGCCAGCTACAAACAACACACCTCAGCCTCAGCCACCCAGCTCCCAACCTCCTGCTGACACTGCCCAATGCTTTGCGTCGCAATGCTGACCCCCTCCTCGCCCCGCCCCTTTCCCCGCCCCTCGCCCCGCTCTTTTCCCCGCTCGCCCGCTCCTCGCCCGCTCCTCGCCCCGCTCCTCGCCCGCCCCTCGCCCCGCTCTTTTCCCCGCTCCTCGCCCGCTCCTCGCCCCGCTCCTCGCCCGCTCCTCGCCCGTCTCCTCGCCCCGCTCCTCGCCCGTCCTCGCCCCTCTCCTCGGCCGCTCCTCGCCCCTCGCCCCGCTCTTTTCCCCCGCTCCTCGCCCCCGCTCCTCTACCCGCTCCTCGCCCGCTCCTCGCCCCAACTCCTCGCCCCGCACCTCGCCCCGCTCCTCAACCCGCCCCTCGCCCCCGCCCCTCGCCCGATCCTCGCCCCGCTCCTCGCCCCGCTCCTCGCCCCCGCTCCTGCCCCGCCCCTCGCCCCGCTCCTCGCCCCGCCCCTCGCTCCGCTCCTCTACCCGCTCCTCGCCCCGCTCCTCACCCTGCTCCTCATCCCTGCTGCCACCCCCTGTAGCTACCCACCCAGGGCCCTATGGAGGTCCCAGGCCCAGCCCCTGGCCCATCCCCAGACGCACCCTTCTTAGCCAGTCTGTCTGAGTGCCCTGACCCCCTGGCGTACCTGGAGGCTGTGGAGCCTGACCTGGCAGAGACCAACCCCACTGCCTTCGCCCTCAAACTACAGGTGTGTTGATTAGAGGCAGACAGTGTGCTGTGCCACCCTCCCTCCCCGTGCCACCCTCCCTCCCCGTGCCACCCTCCCTCCCTTTGGACCCTCTCTAGCCCTGGTATTTATACTATTGATAAATCAGAGGTATACTATTGATAAATCAGAGGTATACTATTGATAAATCAGAGGTATACTATTGATAAATCAGAGGTATACTATTGATAAATCAGAAGTATACTATTGATAAATCAGAGGTATACTATTGATAAATCAGAGGTATACTATTGATAAATCAGAGGTATACTATTGATAAATCAGAGGTATACTATTGATAAATCAGAGGAATACTATTGATAAATCAGAGGTATACTATTTATAAATCAGAGGTATACTATTGATAAATCAGAGGTATACTATTGATCAATCATAGTTATACTATCGATCAATCATAGTTATACTATTGATATATTATAGTTATACTATTGATTAATGAGATTGTGTGTGTGTACTCTAATGTCTATGTCTGTATTTATTCTCCCTGTCTCTAACTCCCTTTGTTTTCTCCTTATTTTCACCCTGTTGTCCAGTCAATATCTAGTCAGTTGTCTAGTCAGTTGTCTAGTCTGTTGTCTAGTCAATATCTAGTCAGTTGTCTAGTCAATATCTAGTCAGTTGTCTAGTCAATATCTAGTCAGTTGTCTAGTCTGTTGTCTAGTCAGTTGTCTAGTCTTTTGTCCAGTCAGTTGTCTAGTCTGTTGTCTAGTCAATATCTAGTCAGTTGTCTAGTCAATATCTAGTCAGTTGTCTAGTCTGTTGTCCAGTCAGTTGTCTAGTCTGTTGTCTAGTCTGTTGTCTAGTCAGTTGTCTAGTCAGTTGTCTAGTCAGTTGTCCAGTCAGTTGTCCAGTCAGTTGTCTAGTCAGTTGTCCAGTCAGTTGTCTATTAAGTTGTCTAGTCAGTTGTCCAGTCAGTTGTCTAGTCAGTTGTCTAGTCAGTTGTCTATTAAGTTGTCTAGTCAGTTATCTAGTCAGTTGTCTAGTCAGTTGTCTAGTCTGTTGTCTAGTCAATATCTAGTCAGTTGTCTAGTCAATATCTAGTCAGTTGTCTAGTCAATATCTAGTTAGTTGTCTAGTCTGTTGTCTAGTCAGTTGTCTAGTCTTTTGTCCAGTCAGTTGTCTAGTCTGTTGTCTAGTCCATATCTAGTCAGTTGTCTAGTCAATATCTAGTCAGTTGTCTAGTCAATATTTAGTCAGTTGTCCAGTCAGTTGTCTAGTCAGTTGTCTAGTCAGTTGTCTAGTCAGTTGTCTAGTCAGTTGTCCAGTCAGTTGTCCAGTCAGTTGTCCAGTCAGTTGTGTAGTCAGTTGTGTAGTCAGTTGTCCAGTCAGTTGTCCAGTCAGTTGTCTAGTCGGTTGTCCAGTCAGTTGTCTAGTCAGTTGTCCAGTCAGTTGTCTAGTCAGTTGTCTAGTCAGTCGTCCAGTCAGTTGTCTATTAAGTTGTCTAGTCAGTTGTCTAGTCAGTTGTCCAATCAGTTGTCTAGTCAGTTGTCTAGTCAGTTGTCTATTAAGTTGTCTAGTCAGTTGTCTAGTCAGTTGTCTAGTCTGTTGTCTAGTCAATATCTAGTCAGTTGTCTAGTCAATATCTAGTCAGCTGTCTAGTCAATATCTAGTCAGTTGTCTAGTCTGTTGTCTAGTCAGTTGTCTAGTCTTTTGTCCAGTCAGTTGTCTAGTCTGTTGTCTAGTCAATATCTAGTCAGTTGTCTAGTCTGTTGTCTAGTCAGTTGTCTAGTCAATATCTAGTCAGTTGTCTAGTCAGTTGTCCGGTCAGTTGTCCAGTCAGTTGTCCAGTCAGTTGTGTAGTCAGTTGTCCAGTCAGTTGTCCAGTCAGTTGTCCAGTCAGTTGTCCAGTCAGTTGTCTAGTCAGTTGTCCAGTCAGTTGTCTAGTCAGTTGTCTAGTCAGTTGTCTAGTCTGTTGTCTAGTCAGTTGTCTAGTCAGTTGTCTAGTCTGTTGTCTAGTCAATATCTAGTCAGTTGTCTAGTCAATATCTAGTCAGTTGTCTAGTCAATATCTAGTCAGTTGTCTAGTCTGTTGTCTAGTCAGTTGTCTAGTCTTTTGTCCAGTCAGTTGTCTAGTCTGTTGTCTAGTCAATATCTAGTCAGTTGTCTAGTCTGTTGTCTAGTCAGTTGTCTAGTCTTTTGTCTGGTCAGTTGTCTAGTCTGTTGTCTAGTCAATATCTAGTCAGTTGTCTAGTCAATATCTAGTCAGTTGTCTAGTCAATATCTAGTCAGTTGTCTAGTCTGTTGTCCAGTCAGTTGTCTAGTCTGTTGTCCAGTCAGTTGTCTAGTCAGTTGTCTAGTCAGTTGTCTAGTCAGTGGTCTAGTCAGTTGTCTAGTCAGTTGTCTAGTCAGTTGTCTAGTCAGTTGTCTAGTCAGTTGTCTATTACGTTGTCTAGTCAGTTGTCTAGTCAGTTGTCTAGTCAGTTGTTCAGTCAGTTGTCTAGTCTGTTGTCTAGTCAATATCTAGTCAGTTGTCTAGTCAATATCTAGTCAGTTGTCTAGTCAATATCTAGTCAGTTGTCTAGTCAGTTGTCTAGTCAGTTGTCCAGTCAGTTGTCTATTAAGTTGTCTAGTCAGTTGTCTAGTCAGTTGTCTAGTCAGTTGTCTAGTCAGTGGTCTAGTCAGTTGTCTAGTCAGTTGTCTAGTCAGTTGTCTAGTCTGTTGTTCAGTCAGTTGTCTAGTCAGTTGTCTAGTCAGTTGTCTAGTCAGTTGTCTATTAAGTTGTCTAGTCAGTTGTCTAGTCAGTTGTCTATTAAGTTGTCTAGTCAGTTGTCTAGTCAGTTGTCCAGTCAATTGTCTATGAAGTTGTCTAGTCAGTTGTCTAGTCTGTTGTTCAGTCAGTTGTCTAGTCTGTTGTATAGTCAGTTGTCTATTCAGTTGTCTAGTCAGTTGTCTATTAAGTTGTCTAGTCAGTTGTCTAGTCAGTTGTCTAGTCAGTTGTCTAGTCAGTTGTCCAGTCAGTTGTCTAGTCTGTTGTATAGTTAGTTGTCTAGTCAGTTGTCCAGTCAGTTGTCTAGTCAGTTGTCTAGTCTGTTGTCTAGTCAGTTGTCTAGTCAGTTGTCTAATCAGTTGTCCAGTCAGTTGTCCAGTCTGTTGTCTAGTCAGTTGTCTAGTCAGTTGTCTAGTCTGTTGTCTAGTCTGTTGTCTAGTCAGTTGTCTAGTCAGTTGTCCAGTCAGTTGTCTAGTCTGTTGTCTAGTCAGTTGTCTAGTCTGTTGTCCAGTCAGGTGTCTAGTCAGTTGTCTAGTCAGTTGTCCAGTCAGTTGTCTAGTCTGTTGTCTAGTCTGTTGTCTAGTCAGTTGTCTAGTCAGTTGTCCAGTCAGTGGCCTAGTCAGTTGTCCAGTCAGTTGTCTAGTCAGTTGTCCAGTCAGTTGTTTAGTCAGTTGTCTAGTCAGTTGTCTAGTCAGTTGTCTAGTCAGTTGTCTAGTCAGTTGTCTAGTCTGTTGTCCAGTCAGGTGTCTCGTCTGTTGTCTAGTCTGTTGTCTTGTCAGTTGTCTAGTCAGTTGTCTAGTCAGTTGTCCAGTCAGTTGTCCAGTCAGTTGTCCAGTCAGTTGTCCAGTCAGTTGTCTAGTCTGTTGTCTAGTCAGTTGTCTAGTCAGTTGTCTAGTCAGTTGTCCAGTCAGTTGTCTAGTCAGTTTCCTTTACCTTACCTCCTCCATTACTTTCGTTGAGCTTCCTTTGGCTTTATGGATAGTATGTAAGCCTGTTAAATGTTTTACTATGTGAGTGTTTGTTGATCTATGAGTTTGTGGGTACTGTTGGTGAGAGAGTGGGTACTGTAGGAGAGAGAGTGGGTATTGTTGGTGAGAGAGTGGTTACTGTATATTAGAGAGTGGGTACTGTAGGTGAGAGAGTGGGTACTGTAGATTAGAGAGTGGGTACTGTAGGAGAGAGAGTGGGTACTGTATGTGAGAGAGTGGGTACTGTAGGAGAGATAGTGGGTACTGTAGATTAGAGAGTGGGTACTGTAGGTGAGAGAGTGGGTACTGTAGGAGAGAGAGTGGGTACTGTAGGAGAGAGAGTGGGTACTGTAGGTGAGAGAGTGGGTACTGTAGATTAGAGAGTGGGTACTGTAGGTGAGAGAGTGGGTACTGTAGATTAGAGAGTGGGTACTGTAGGAGAGAGAGTGGGTACTGTATGTGAGAGAGTGGGTACTGTAGATTAGAGAGTGGGTACTGTAGGAGAGAGAGTGGGTACTGTAGGAGAGAGAGTGGGTACTGTAGGTGAGAGAGTGGGTACTGTAGGAGAGATAGTGGGTACTGTAGATTAGAGAGTGGGTACTGTCGGTGAGAGAGTGGGTACTGTAGGAGAGAACTAAGTGATCTAGGTGTGTGTAACTCAACTTCTGGTTCTCTATGTCTCTCCTGCTGACCCCTGCCTCCCCCCTCCGGCAACACCCTCTCCTCCTCCTCCCCCTCCCACTCCTCCACTGACCCCCCCCCCCTCATCTACCTGCGGCTCAGGAGGAATGGTTATAGCGGCTCTGGGATAGAGGATTGAAGGGAGCCAAACACCTCTAAGACAGCCACTCCCTCTCCACGGTCACCCCACAGGTACTGAGCTGACAAAGTGCCTGCACCAGTGTACCTGCCCTCTCTGTCTCTCTGTCTCTCTGTCTCTCTGTCATATCTGGTCTCTCCTATCATCTCTCTCTTCTATCTGTCTTCTTCTCCTATACTCATCTCTCTTGTCTCTCTGTCTCTATCATCTCTCTCTGTCTCGCTGTCTGTCTCTCTCTCTCATTTTGTCTCTCTCCTCTCGTTCTTATCTCTCTCTCTTCTCTCTCTCTCCTCTCTCTCTCCTGTTCTCTCTCTCTTATCTCCTCTCTCTCTCTCTCTCTCCCTCTCCCTCTCTCTCTCTCTCTGTCTCTCTCTCTGTGTGTGTGTATGTTTGTGTGTGTGACTGTATGTGAACAGCATGAGCGTGTCTAAGCCTGCCTCTCCCTCCCTCCCCCCTCCCATATCCTGAACCCTCTAGTCACACCATTGTGTTTGTGAACCCATGGCCGTTACTAAACAATACCAACAACAGAAACATAAACCAACATGGCTTTCAGCCCCCTGACCCCTAACCTCTGACCTCCAACCCCAGCTGTCCTTAACCAATTAACACAAAGAGTGCTGGACCTTTTCTTCTCTTGGCTATCGGCCTGAACTGTTGAGCCTTTCCTCTGTAATCTCACATTCCTGTTTTCTGACTGACTGACCTTTTCTCCTAAAGAACCCAACAAACACCAACATCATTGCTGCCTCATTTCAGGAGAGAAGTCAGTTTGGTTTCAGGAGTAGAGGTTTCATGATACAGATGGTTCATTTATCTTCCTTCCTTATTGTAAGGTCTGTGGTGAAACCATGTGAAATGCATTTGTTACTGAGGGTCACAACAGATGAAAGTGAAGATAGGTCCGTTGGGTAGGCCTACTCAAGAGATAGGTCCG